TGCTGTGAAGCAGTCTCAAGCACTGAAATAAAACATGTTATGAATTATGTTTCCACAGTTTAAACCAGGCAATAATTCACAATATGATATAGACCTTTGTGTGTATATTAAGAGACTTTGCATCCCACTTATCAAATAAACAAACATGCTGCTTATTAGAAAGTAAAGCAAGTTACTTAAATTCTTTTAACTCATAACCCAGGAACCTATGTCTGGTCTGCTCACTCAGGAAGCACAGATGCAAGGATTCGCCTAGGAACATTGACTAAGATTAGCTCTCTTAATATATTTCTTGCTGTTCGACCTTGACAGCATCCGGAACACACAGGAGGATGCAAGCAGACGAAATTAGCTCTAAAGTAAAATCATGAACTCTCCTTAACATAAGAATACATTTCTGTATGTCAGGCACCCTTTAGCAGGGAATTACGATTGCATAAAATTATGCAGTAATGCTGTTTTACCATCACACGTGACATTTATTAGTAATTTTGAAAAAGCTGTTGCAACATGCTCATAGGAGATAAAAGCAAAATAGAGGATCAAGATTATGCTGTGAAATGATGGAATTAAAATGAAAATAGAAAAAATGATTGATATTACAATATAGTAATATTTCTCATACCTTTTTATTTTTGTCTTAACCGACATGTGTATTTCATATAGGCATTAGGAACTTATTATATGTCGCACTAATAGCGTTTATTCTGGTTAGAGACAAATGCCAGCTGTTTCTCAGGATATTGCACAGGGTAGCCTCTGTGCTCCAGGTTTGCATGGTTGTATTTGGCAAAGATTAATTAGTGAAACGGATATACACAGGGAACGAAGGAAGGTTAAAAAGAAAAGCCAACTAGCAGGTTGGAGGTAAGCTGTTAGAGGACAGGAGCCGGGCAATGGAACAACAACTGCGATAGAAGTAACAGGCTGGAGAAAATTCTGCACTGAAAATAATTGTAGTCAGATGGGTAATCAGGTCAGGAACTACATTTTCAAATCAAGTCTGGCCTGAAACCAGCCAAGCAAATGAGAACGTATTGCTGAGTTAACCAGGCATAAAAAATACAGAGCAACAAGCTGGGAAAGCTAATGATTATCTGCATGGGGGCTACGGTGACACATGTTATTGTGATGTAGTGTTAGCAAATGTGCATTTTGAATTTGGTGAAAAAAAATTCAATGTGCAGAGTTCAATTTAATTGAAATGTTTCAAAAGAAATGCCTTATTCCTATCTTATTATAGATAACATATGGTCATGTGCAGAAGTGCAAGTAAAGTTGATGTCCTAAATTAACAATCTGTGCAGCCAAAGGCATAATTTTCTCCTTGTCAGCAGGCCCTTTGTAGCAAGACAGACGGAGCTGCAGGGATGACAGGAAGGTATATTCAGAAAGTAATACTGCAGGAATCGCTGATGTGTGAGAACCTGCAAAAAATAAGATGCACCATAGCTGCTCCTCATCATTTTGTCTAGTATAGACAAACTTCATCTTCAGGGTACATTGAGGTACATCAGGATGCATTACTGTGAAAAATGACAGTAAAGCAGAAAACAAGATGCTGTCTCAAAAAGAAATGTAAATGTTTTCTCAGACAGTGATGGGTTTGGTGGTGAGGAGAGTTATAAGGATGGAACTTCAGTTTCAAAATCCCACGATTACACTATTAATCCTCAGAAAGTAAAAGGTGGTCTTTAAACAGTTTGAACAATACATGGTATATAATAGGAACATTTATACCTCAGGATATTATTAACAGTTAAATGCTTCCTATCTATGTGTAGGGCAGGGATAGGCAACCTTCGGCACTCCAGATGTTGTGGACTGCATCCCCCATAATGAAATTACATCCATAATGCTGGCAAAGCATCATGGGAGGTGTAGCCCAAAACATCTGGAGTGCCGAAGGTTGCCTGTGCCTGGTGTAGGGATATTGAAGAAATTATTAAATAATATTGGTTATATAACGGACAAAATTAATTTTTATTAAAATTATTGCTTGTAAAACTTATTTTTTAAAGTGTTTGAAAGTTAAAAAAAGTTGTAGGATTATAGACAGAATAAATACATTTACATAATACATTTATTTATATAATACATTTATAGAAAATAAATTAGATCTTGTCTCTAACTGCTTTTTTTTTTACTTTTTTGTGTGTAAGGTTTGTTCTGTGTTCTGTTTCTGATTTCTGTTTGATTTTCTGTGAGGGAGGTTTGTCTCTTGGCTTTCATGTCATCAGTAAGTTTAACCCCTTATGAACACATGACATGTGTGACATGTCATGATTCCCTTTTATTCCAGACGTTTGGTCCTTAAGGGGTTAAACTAGTTGGTCCCTGTTACTTTTTTACCTACTGACAGATCTAGAAAGACAGACAACAAGTGGGAGCAAGTGTGACGTATACTGTTTGTTACTGCATGAGTGTATATCAATTACACATACACATCACTCACACTGTTCTATCAAACATTGAGAATGTATTTTTCAGTTAGAACCCCACATGTTAGCAGTGGGGAAGGGTATTTGGCATGTTAACCCTAACAAATTTTAAGCTCTAGGAAGCATCCATGTTCCCATTTCCCCCATATAAACCATATCAAGATTTAGGAATTAATTGATAGGGGATTTATCCATCCTTGTCATTGCTACTAGCTTAATCTAGAAATCAATTTCCATTTAGTATATAACCCCAAAACGATGTTTCATCTATTTCCATGACAATGGGGTGATAGCATCATTTAAATATGGACAATGTAATTTGCTACTTACTGAATTCCATGAAAATGATTTTGTTTTGAATAATATTCTCTTTTTATGAGAATAATGTTTGCTCTATCTAATCACCTACAGCAATGCTGCCTTGATTCAGATATCAGTTGAAGTAAAATATGTATGATTTTTTGCAATATTGAATGTAGGTGACAGTAATATGCATAGCATGTCTGCTTTTTACAGATATGTCTTTATATTCAAAGTACAGGAAGGAATCATTTTAATGACTTGTCAATGCTTGTTGATTTGGTCGTTACAGAGTTGAAAATCATATGCAGCTCTGAATAAATTGTTGGTATTTGTAATCAGAATAAATCTTTTGAGAATTACTATGTAGATTTTCTATGGTAAGTTTATTCAGTTAGATAAGAAGTTGCAAAAAAATAGTTTCAAAATACAGGGCTCAATAATCTGAACTGCAAGTTGTCCTAACACGGGAATTGGCTTATAATATTCAGGCCAAGAGAGCACATCTGGACAAATTTATAACTACTTGAAATTAGAGATTCTGTCTAATATGACTATTTCTATTTACAATTTTGCAAGTCAATTTTCAGTTCAACAGAATTTCCTTTTAGTAAATAAAGTAAATATAGTCTTTTTAGCATGGTAAATAAAAGGTATTTTGGGTATATATCCATGAGATTTGTACATAAGCATGGAATGCCACATATTTTCTTCATTTTTTAGCATACGAAGAAAAGGTCCTCTTGCAGTATTGTCCTGTATGTATTCCATCCATTCTTGCTTCAGTTCTGACAAGGCTCCTAAGTCCTGCTGATCAAGGCTCTCATGTCCTGCGTATAGCCCAGTGCTTCCACCAACATATGTCACTGCACTGATAGTGTTTGCTGAGGTATAAAGGGTTTTATTTATGACACATATAAAGCAATTGTGGCCACAAATGTCTATCCTGGTCTTATCTGATTACAGAACCTTTCCCCACATCTTACCTGAGTCAGCTTCAAGCTTTTTAGCAAATTCTATTTGTGTTTTCATGTGGCTGGTTTTGAGCAATGTTTTCTTTTTTGCCATCTTCCCATATAGGGCAATTTGATGCAGAACATGTTTACAGGGGCACATTTAACCCAGTCTCAGCAATGGACCACTGTAGATCCTTTAAAGTGACTGATGGTCTCTTCTTTACTTCCATCATAAGTCTCTTCCTTGCATGATCAATAAGATTTTAAATATAAACTTTTCTAGGTGGTGCAATGTGACTTCTTATTCTAGTTATTTAACCCAACAGTACTTATTGTGTTTTCCAAACACTTTGACATTACTTTGTACCTTTTTTGTATGTGAAAAGGTCTCTGAGGAAGGACCTATCTTGGCAATACTTTTATTTGCTAATCCAAATGGTTTTATATTTACCTTGATTCCTACTTCTTCTGGCTCCTGGATCCAACTTTCAATAAGAGGAAAGAGGTTATTCTTGCCACCCATTGTCATCGGGGGAGGCACCCTCAAGATGATTTTATACTCTACATCTTGAGAGTGCAAATTACCAACACATTCATTTTCTATATTATAACTGTACACTATGGATTACATTGTTTTGTTTTTAGGTAATACAGCTGTATCCCTTTGTTTTCTACATATTTATTCATTGTTTCATGTTGTACCTATCTTGGAAGGCTACCTACCCCAGAATTTTTTTTTTAAATGTTCCCACTGTAGACCCTTTAAAGTGACTGATGGCCTTTTCTTTACTTACCTCACAAGTCTCTTCCATCCATGATCACTAATGAGTTTTCAAAGATGACTTTTTCTAGGTAGTGGCTGGGTAGTGCAATGTTTTAATTTTTTTTTTAAATGACCTTTTCTAGGTAATGTCTGGGTAGTCATTTTCTAGATAATTAATGCAACAGTACTAACCAGGTTTTCCAAACACTTTGATATTACTTTGTACCCTTTTTCTAACTGCTGTAGTTTGAGTAGGCTATTATTGTTGTAGAATGCCCTTTCTAATTTGTTGTCACACCTTTTGTTTGGACTTTCTATTAATCCTTGCCTGCATTAGGACAATTTTCAGCTGTGTAAGCATGCAGCTTACAGAACAGAGAGGCTTAATATTTTTCCAAAATGGATACTTTAGTTTTTTTTAATCAAAATATTCAAAATATTTTTCAATTTAAAAACCAGTGTCATCATAAAATTGCTAAGGCTATGAAGACAGACAGACGGATGGATGATAGAGAGATAGATAGCTAAATAGATCATTACTTTACCCTTTGAAATTTGGCTTGTTCCGCCTCTCTGGGCAGGTCCCACAGTTGCTCCTCATTTAAGGCCCTGAGCGCAGAAGGCCCAATACTTTGACTGCAAAGAGCTTCTAGCTCCACCTGCAGGGTGGCATTCTCCTGCTCCAAATCTCTCACCTGAAAAAAAACACTCTCCATAAACTACAATAGAATTGTCTATCATTTTATTTATTAACGTGTGCCAGGAAACAAAACATATCTCTTGATATTTCAGCTGGGTTGCAAAACACATTCCATATTTAATTAGCCCTTATAGGCTTAGGTCATGCCACAGCATCTCAATCGGGTTGAGGTCAGGATTCTGACTGGGCCACTTCAGAAGGCGTATTTTCTTCTGTTTAAGCCATTCTGTTGTTGATTTACTTCTATGCTTTGGCTGAAACAATTCCATAACATTACTGTAATGTATTTATGGGCAATTAAAGAGTTAACACTAAGAACACACTGTGAATACTAACTCTCTCGCTGTACTTAGTTAACCTGTCATTTACAACCACCATAGATAGCATCATTGTATCATGGCATTATAGTCTTCTAATTCCTGTTTCCTACTGGTGTACTCTGTATCAAATACAAAAGCAATAAAACATCTTTCCACCATATCCAGTTGATCTCACCAAAATGATGCAGTGAAGAAAAGGCTATACTAATATCAAATTTTTCTTGTTCCTCTGATGGATCAGAAATTGATTGATCAGGAACCCTGAACCAGATCACTTCTGCAGATACATATTTAAACTGGGCAGTAATTCAGTAGTTGCTGTAAGACTTTAAGAAAAACTGCTGCCAAAGATGAAATAAAGTATTTACATAAATATTATTCAAGAAGAAAAAGCCTTTGATAAAACAAGTCTTGTTTTTCCAATTGTAACACACAATATATGTTTTGTTTCATTATGTACAAATTTCTTTTGAATCTGCTTTGAAGGTAGCATAGCCTTGGAAATATATTGATTCATGAAACAGAATGCTTAGAACAAAAGGCTGGTTGCATATGTCAAAGTAAAATTCACATAACAACACGTTTAATTGTGTTACAAACCTTTTTATTGAAAGCAAAGAAAGAAATGTTAATAATGATGAAAGTGAAGGGGATGCAAAATAATGCCTAACTTTTCATAAAGGGATAAAAGGACTATAGGGATTTCAGCAAGGTTTCTGTGACTTGCATTTGTTGCGTCAAATACAAATTAGAAATTTACTATTAATATTTTTTTTTCGCATTGTCAATTTCCTGCATTTGGATTTAGCCTGATTAGGATTCAGACAAATTTGAGCTGATCAGCTGTTTGGCCAAATGCCGTATCTCTGTAGTGTCATCCAAACTTACAATCGAGGAAACGACTAGTGCAATGGCTAAACATGCTTATTTGATTTAGTATTCATAGTTCAGTCACTAAATGTTGATTTTATTCACAGATTAAGAAGCGACCAAAAGAGAGGAAATGTAGAAAGCAGCAGTAAAAAAAAGTAATCTATTCTTATATTATATATTTCATAAATATTGTGTGTGTGTGTGTGTGTGTGTGTGTATATATATATATATATATATAAATCCAAGTAAATGGAAAGCACTCCAGGGTCTTTGAGGTATAGTTAAAATTTAACTTTTAATTCATATCAAAATGATAAAATTTAACATCAACGTTTCGGCTCACATCTGGAGCCTTCTTCAGGATGACAAATATAACATTTACAGCCATTACAGTGCAATATATATACAAAATAATTAAATACTCATGATCATAATATGAGTCAGTAGCAGTACCCTCCAAAATCCACGAGAAGAAAGACGATCAGCCTGATCTGCCGAAATTCTGTTCGGTTCCCATGCTGTTTGCGCTCCACCGTTGCAATGCAACGGCTGGAAAGCACAGCATACTGCCGATCGGCTGCTCGCGAGAGAAAAGGATTGCCAGAGCAATCATCCTCAGCCAGCCATAAATGCTGTTGTTGGGAAAGGCTCACTTCCACCAATGTCTCATACATGAACACAGTGAAAAGTAAAATAGACCGAAACCGGTCTACAGAGTGTTAAAATATAAGCACACTAATAGAAGAGCTCGGTAGAAAGTGCAAGTAGCAAACTAAATAGACATCCATAAAATAGCTAGGCAATATGAAATGATACTTATTTCTACACATATGTCAATCATTCTTACTTCCAGATATATGACAAGGTATGCCAATTTGTCATACTTAAAAAGTAACAATAGTGTGTAACAAATTGTAGCTCTGGAAAAGTAACAACATATGCAGACATTATTTCTAAATGCAGTCTGTTCTACCATCGATATAGAAATAAATGGAAAAATTAGGTTGCCCATGCCATACAAGACCAAAAAGGAAAGTGCAAAAGTGGAGCGCAAACAGCATGGGAACTGGCCAGATTTTCAGCAGATCGAGCTGATCGGCTTTCTTCTCGTGGATTTTGGCGGGTACTGCTCCTGACTCATATGACGATGGTGAGCATTTAATTATTTTGTATATATATTGCACTGTTACATCTGTAAATGTTATATTTGTCATCCTGAAGAAGGCTCCAGATGTGAGCCGAAACGTTGATGTTAAATTTTATCATTTTGATATGAATTAAAAGTTAAATTTTAACTATACCTCAAAGACCCTGGCATGCTTTCCCTTTACTTGGATTTCTACAAATTTTGCTGGATACAGCACCGGGCAATAGCATCATTTTCACCAGGAGTGCAAGCATATTGGATTTTTTTACATATATTGGTCATAAAATGTGATCTGATCATCAACTAAGTCATAACAATAGACAATCACAGTCTGCTTAAACTAATAACACACAAATAATGAAATGTTGCATTGTTTTTATTGAACACACCATGCAAACATTCACAGTGCAGGTGGAAAAAGTATGTAAACCCCAAGACTAACGACATCTCCAAGAGCTAATTGGAGTGAGATGTCAGCCAACTGGATGAGATGAGATTGGAGGTGTTGGTTACAGCTGCCATGCCCTATAAAAAACATACACCAGTTCTGGGTTTGCTTTTCACAAGAAGCATTGCCTGATGTGAATGATGCCTCACACAAAAGATCTCTCAGAAGACCTACGATTAAGAATTAATGACTTGCATAAAGCTGGAAAGGGTTATAAAAGTATCTTGCTGTTCATCAGTCCACGGTAAGACAAATTGTCTATAAATGGAGAAAGTTCAGCACTGCTGCTACTCTCCCTAGGAGTGGCTGTCCTGTAAAGATGACTGCAAGAGCACAGCGCAGACTGCTCAATGAGGTGAAGAAGAATCCTAGAGTGTCAGCTAAAGACTTACAAAAGTCACTGGCAAATGCTAACATCCCTGTTAGCGAATCTACAATACGTAAAACACTAAACAAGAATGGATTTCATGTGAGGATACCACAGAGGAAGCCACTGCTGTCCAAACAAAACATTGCTGCACGTTTACAGTTTGCACAAGAGCACCTAGATGTTCCACAGCAGTACTGGCAAAATATTCTGTGGACAGATGAAACCAAAGTTGAGTTGTTTGGAAGAAACACAAAACACTATGTGTGGCGAAAAAAAGGCACAGCACACCAACATCAAAACCTCATCCCAACTGTGAAGTATGGTGGTGGGGGCATCATGGTTTGGGGCTGCTTTGCTGCGTCAGGGCCTGGACGGATTGCTATCATCGAAGGAAAAATGAATTCCCAAGTTTATCAAGACATTTTGCAGGAGAACTAAAGGCCATCTGTCTACCAGCTGAAGCTCAACAGAAGATGGGTGTTGCAACAGGACAATGACCCAAAGCATAGAAGTAAATCAACAACAGAATGGCTTAAACAGAAGAAAATACGTCTTCTGAAGTGGCCCAGTCCTGACCTCAACCCAATTGAGATGCTGTGGCATGACCTCAAGAAAGCGATTCACACCAGACATCCCAAGAATATTGCTGAACTGAAACAGTTCTGTAAAGAGGAATGGTCAAGAATTACTCCTGACCGTTGTGCACGTCTGATCTGCAACTACAGGAAACGTTTGGTTGAAGTTATTGCTGCCAAAGGAGGTTCAACCAGTTATTAAACCCAAGGGTTCACATACTTTTTCCACCTGCACTGTGAATGTTTACATGGTGTGTTCAATAAAAACATGGCAGCATTTCATTCTTTGTGTGTTATTAGTTTAAGCAGACTGTGATTGTCTATTGTTGTGACTTAGATGATGATCAGATCAGATTTTATGACCAATTTATGCAGAAATCCATATCATTCCAAAGGGTTCACATACTTTTTCTTTCAACGGTATATGCCAAATTAATGATGCTTGGCACTCCTCTCATTAGATAAAAATTATAAGATTACTGTGCCTAGGTGCAAACCCGCATCACATATAGAAAAAAACAAAATACAGGGAACACTCCAGGTCTCACATCTGTGTAATCAATGTATTTATTTTAAATGCAAAATTTAGCTGTGCATAGTTTCAAATCAATGTTTCGACCTGTTTGGGTCTTTTTCAAGGTTTTGAAAAATGTCCTGTGTGGACTGAAACGTCTACAGAACCGAGGTGTATTTGTTGTTTACACAATAAAAGGATTATTGTAAAAGACCTGTGAGTGCACACTTTGTCTCCCTTATAGTTTTGGCTGACGTTTTGCACCCAGGCATCTACAGGACCGGGAGAGTAAGTGCTGGACCCTCAAGTGTATATATATATGTCTAGATTGGTTATTTGATCTGTGAACCAACTAGTGCTAAATTACATGTTTCAGTGTTCTGCAAATATATACATAATAGTTTTATAATAATAAAATATAATAATAATTGTACATTGATTGGCTCATTTTTTAACCCTTTTTTGGTTTGTCAGAATGTTTCCCAAATATTTTTCCATGATATTCCACCAAACCGTCACATGAACAAGTGTTGGACATCTCTAACAAAATGTCACTTTCGAGAAAAATTATTCAGCAAAAACAATCTTTCCCACCATGCACATGTGTAGTAATTTTAGAGATACTAGTCGAGGATTATACCACCTCTGTAATCCCATCTTAAATCATCTAATTCTTGCCATAAGCAATATATTTGTAATTATTTTTGCGCCAAGCTCAACTACCTTGAGTAGGGTTAGATACACTGAGACTTGACTCATCTTACGTATACTGCTTGCTTTCTTTTGTATTGGAATACAATTTTATTTGTCCTTAACAGTTCCTTGTAGCAATGTTTAGCTGATGAACCTGAAAAGCGCAAAACAGACGAAGTGGGGTTTCTATAGTAAAGTCCATCAGTGGGAGCTTGGTGTATGAAGTCTCAGAGCTCCCTAAGAGAGTGAGTGCATACTCATGAAATGCATAGGAGCGAATTATTACGACCTGGATTGCTTGTTTGTCCCCTGCAAGACTTCACACATTGAGAACCGCTGTAAAGACTTTATCCAGCATCCAGGTTCATACTCAGACTTTTATTTCACATAGAGCCTGTTCCTTACAGCACCTTACCCCTCTGATTTGTCTTTTGAATTACTGACTAGAACGGATTCTTCAACACAAGGTGCATAGTTTCCAATTTTGTTATCTAGCGCACACTGTTTTGTGAGTAATGCTATAAAGAGAGACGGCAGAGTAGCGAGAGAGGCCTCTGTGTATTTGGAGTTTTTTTATATATAGTGCTTTTATTTTGTTTTATTATTATTTTGTTTTTAGGTTTATGAATTTATTTGTCTAATTGCTTGATTGGTTATTTTTATATGCATTTTAAATAAAACTGACTTCACCATAGAAGCCTTACTTTTTCAATGTAAGTCAATGTAAGAACTGATAGAGGGTCAAGGTGTGAGAGGAGCAATAGGAGAGAAAAATCCTGTCGGCGGTATTAATTATGGATTGTAGTACAGCAGTGCAGTTTCTTGTAATACACTAATCCATTTGGGAGATTACTAGAGCATGAACAAGCTCCTTAGCAGCATTTTGTGTAAGAAAAGGGAGGACACAGGCAATGTTTTGATGTGGAAATGGCAGACTTTGACAAAAGACCACACAAGAGGTGCAAAGGTGTGACCAGAATCAAATATAACACCAAGACAGCAAGCTTGCAATGATGGGCTGATGCAGATACCATCAACTTGCAAGGAGATTCAAAGAGGAGGATTTGTGTTATGAGAAGGAAAAGTAAGAAGCCCAGTTTTAGAGATGTTGAGTTTCAGAAAGAAGACATCCAATTAGAGATTGAAAAAAAGCAACTGGTCATGTGTTCTTAGACAGTGGGGGGAAGATTACGGAAGAGGGATATTTCTGGGTATCATCAGCGTAAAGGTGGTAGCAAAATTCAAAGGTAATAATATGTTTGCCAAGAGAGTCAGTATAAAGAAAAAATTAAAGGGGTCCAATAACAGAGCCTTAGGGACTCGAACTGAGAAAGGATGAGGGGAGGAGGTGTTATTAAATAATCAGAGCAGGGCAAAGAAGAAAGTTGAAAGTCGAAAGTATCAAAGAGACTTCTGGGATTGTGGGAGCACTACTAAGTATGACTGTTTAGCAAAGGTGAGGACTGCTGTGTATGAGCTGAAGATGAATTTGTTATTGAGAAAGTCTGACAAGGTGTGAGACTTTGTTCAGCAGCATTCAGCTGTAAGGGAGCATCTTTGTATGTAGCATGCTGTCTTAGTGTGACACGTTGGAAGCACATTCTTCTTGAAGTGTATGTTTAAAGTAGAGCTGCACTGTTTAGAGCAGGGCTGAGGTCGCATTATATGACAAGATAGCCAGAGAGGTACAGGAGAAAGTAGAGATGAATGAGAATTCAAAATGAACAGCATTTGACAGTTGCTGGAGGTCAATAGAATTCAAGTTATAATTAAGGAGTATTTGGCTGAGAATGTTGGGTGAGGGGGCTATCAAGAACAAAAGATAAGAGGAGGTGATATGAGAGAGGAAACGGAGTGTTACTGAGATTATGGAATGTGCATGCATCTGAAAAAAAAATAAGATTGGGAGTATTGGCAGTTACATGCT